CATATTGTGCCGATTAACTGATCCATTTAGCTCAAAAGTAGCTTCATCGGAAAAGCAGATCCAAGTAAAGAATTGGTTATTACCATCAAATCGTGCCATCATCGTATCACTAAATTCAAGTCTTCTGTCAAAATCCTCTTCGAATAGCTCCTGCACAAAGTGAATTTTGTATGGATGGTAATGGTATTTCTTTAAAATTCTACGAGTTGATCTTTTGCTAATTTCAGTTTGTTGAGCTATTTTTGAAACTGATGTATGAGAATTTTCAGTTGTAGCTAGTAAAACCTCCATACTCTTATCATCGTTGGTGGCATTTTTGGGTCTTCCAGATTTTGATTCATCTTTTATTGAACCAGTTCTTTCGAAACGATCAACAGTTCGAAAAACAGTTGATTTCGAAATTGGAGGACGATGATCAAATGTGTCATTAAATAAATTTACCACTTCTTGATAAGATCTAATTCTATCACCGAATCCTCGCATCATAAGAATAGTAATTCTTTCTTTCTCGGTCAAATGCATTGTGTTCACGATAAAACAATTACTAAAAGAATCAATAAGAAGTTTCAGCACTGAGACAGAGCCTGTCAGAATTCAGTTTAATATTCGTTTGTAAATACTTAAAGTGTTCACTTCAGATTGCGAACACAATGCATTTGACCGAGAAAGAAAGAATTACTATTCTTATGATGCGAGGATTCGGTGATAGAATTAGATCTTATCAAGAAGTGGTAAATTTATTTAATGACACATTTGATCATCGTCCTCCAATTTCGAAATCAACTGTTTTTCGAACTGTTGATCGTTTCGAAAGAACTGGTTCAATAAAAGATGAATCAAAATCTGGAAGACCCAAAGATGCCACCAACGATGATAAGAGTATGGAGGTTTTACTAGCTGCAACTGAAAATTCTCATACATCAGTTTCAAAAATAGCTCAACAAACTGAAATTAGCAAAAGATCAACTCGTAGAATTTTAAAGAAATACCATTACCATCCATACAAAATTCACTTTGTGCAGGAGCTATTCGAAGAGGATTTTGACAGAAGACTTGAATTTAGTGATACGATGATGGCACGATTTGATGGTAATAACCAATTCTTTACTTGGATCTGCTTTTCCGATGAAGCTACTTTTGAGCTAAATGGATCAGTTAATCGGCACAATATGAGATATTGGGCTGATGAAAATCCTCATTGGATGAGAGATTGCCACACGCAGTATCCTGAGAAAGTAAATGTTTGGGCCGGAATATTGTGTAATCGTATCATAGGTCCATTTTTTATTGACGGTAATATAACAGCGGAAAGTTATTTAGATTTGTTGAGAAACCGAATAATACCGGGTATCCAAAATATTGTTGGAGATGCTTTTGAAAATGTTTGGTATCAACATGATGGGGCTCCAGCTCATTTCGCATTGCGTGTACGCAATTTTCTAAACGAAACTTTTATTGGTCGATGGATTGGTAGAAGAGGCACGATAGAATGGCCACCGAGATCTCCCGATCTAAACCCGTTAGACTTTTTCTACTGGGGATATTTGAAAAGTAGAGTCTATGAAACGAAACCTACCAACGTGAACGATTTAAGGGAAAGAATATTATACATTTCAAATTTAATAACACCGGAAACTTTAAGAAACGTCACAGATACATTTTATTTTCGCTTAGGATACTGCCAAGAAGCAGGAGGACATCAATTTGAACACTTAATAAATTAATGAACATTTATTTAGAAACACATAAGAGAGCACGCGCGCGCGCGTATGCACGCACGCACGCACGCACGCACGCACACGCACACACACGTACACGCATACACACGCACACACACGTACACGCACACACACGCACACACGCACATATCACAAAACAAAAAAGATATAAATCCGACCGTGCAACCTCCGCGTGGTATATCTTGGGTAATGCTAATGCCGGCGGTACTATAACTTCCAAGCTTCATAACTTGTGATGTGCTTAACGAAAAAATACTTTATTATAGGGTTTTGAAAAGCTCTTGACATCAGCTATTAGATTCTTGAATCAAAAATGGTATGTTTAATTTAAAAAAATTGACGTGACCTTGACCTGACCTTGGCAGTGCCACCCAAGGTCAAACTAATAAGATCAGTAGATAGATTTTTTTGAACCATACAACTTTTGTTCGAAACATTTTTTTAATAAACCAATATTTCCTGAGATAATTGACCGTTCCGGAACTTTTGCCCCACCCTGTATATATATACAGGGCGATCCCGAAAAACCTTCCGTCTTTAAAATGACGTATTCCTGACACTATTCTAAGACAATTTTTTCTTTACCAAAATTTGATTTGAAGCGTAGTTTTTGAGTTATAAGCAGAAATAGTTAGTAAATCACGCGTCGGGTACAGAAGGCAGGCAGGGGCGGCCCGGCGCGCCGCGAGCGCGGGCGCAGCTGATCGCCCGACAAGCGATTATCACTGCATGAGTCACTAACTATTTTATCTTATAACATAAAATTATGCTTTAAATAAAATTTTGGTAAAGAAGAAAATGTCTTAGAATTACATCAGGAATACGTGTTCCTTAAAATAATGTTAATTATTAAAAGTTATTCCGGATCGCCGACCGTCGAACGCTGTAATCAGCTGATTGCTACATGCGATGTGTGTATGGCGGAGTGTGCGTAAAAGAGAGAGAGAGAGAGAGAGAAAGAGAGAGAGAGAGAGAGAGAAAGAGAAAGAGAGAGAGAGAGAGAGGGAGGAAGGGTAAAAGGGACAGACATTCATACACACGTACGCACGTACGCATACACTTTTTTCTCTCTCTCTTTTACAACACTCTGTCATTTAGTCACTCATTCTCTCACTCACTCACTCACTTACTCTGCTTACTTATTGCTCACTCACCTGGTAGCAGCGTAGCGAATCTTCATGCTACGTATTGTTGTAACTGCTGCACGATTATTAGATCGCTGCACCGCTGATTGTTAGAGATGCGCGGCACATCGAAACTTTCTCACTTCGAAACACTCTTACACTCGATTGACACAGATTACGCGATAACGAGTTTACTGTTTATTACTCACTCGATTCCCATCGTTTTATCGAGACTTAAAATTACTTTAAAAGAAACGCGAATGCGAGAGAACACATGACTCGACGCGAAGCGACGGACCGCGGAGACTGCGCGACCACGAGGGTTATGTGTTGCCAGAAACGCGACACGCGACATCTAACAATAAACGCCTTGCGCGTGGCGCGTGATTGACGCGAGATAAGACGAACAATCGGCTAAAACCTTCTCACCCTTACCCTTCCTCCCCTTCTCTCTCTCTCTCTCTTTCTCTCTCTCTCTCTCTCTCTTTTACGCACACACTCCACCATACACACATCGCATGTAGCAATCAGCTGATTACAGCGTTCGACGGTCGGCGATCCGGAATAACTTTTAATAATTAACATTATTTTAAGGAACACGTATTCCTGATGTAATTCTAAGACATTTTCTTCTTTAAAATTTTATTTAAAGCATAATTTTATGTTATAAGATAAAATAGTTAGTGACTCATGCAGTGGTAATCGCCTGTCGGGCGATCAGCTGCGCTCGCGTTCACGGCGCGCCGGGCCGCCCCTGCCTGCCTCCTGTACTCGACGCGTGATTTACTAACTATTTTTGCTTATAACTCAAAAACTACGCTTCAAATCAAATTTTGGTAAAGAAAAAATTGTCTTAGAATAGTGTCAGGAATACGTCATTTTAAAGACGGAAGGTTTTTCGGGATCGCCCTGTATATATATGCAGATGTATAAATTGATTATACATCGTTGCAGGCGGAATTAATAACTTACTTTTAATAACTAGATAAAAGTTCCAATTTTTCCGATAAGAGCCAAGCGGAGTAATAACGTTACACTTTTTTCTGTTAGTCTGCAAAGTGATTCTATAATGCATTTAAAAGTTTGGTTTTAATTGTAAAGAATGACAACTTAATAATGATCTTAATTGAAAAATACTCGAAAACTGACAGACATTGGCAACGGTGTTATAGAAATAAAAACGAAGCACTGATACTAAATACTTAAAATACTCATTACATCAGTATTTTGCACATTCGTGCCTCAGACTAATCCTTTGTATATTTCGAAAGACATATGTTTGAAATTCATATTTCGCATGCATATCATCTCAGCTCATTATTACTGAAAACCGAAATTTTTCAAATTAACGGGCGTCGAGAATCTTCTCGACGTTTCTATTTATAGAAAAAAAACCGATCGTTCGAGTTATCTCTATTTTGTTGCCACCGCAAAAAACGTTAGTTTCTGCCGTTGACAATAACAGTGTCAATGGTCGCCGAAAACTGTAAAGTTTACGGGCATGCGCGCCCATGCGTCACGATCAGCTGATTACCAATCAGCTGATCTAAAAAGATCGCGCGCATGACAATTAACTCATTGTCAGCGGTAGATCTCATCAGCGGCCAATGACGCGCGGCGCCCTGAGGTCACCGCCAAAATACAAAGTTAATTGGGCCACGTCGACACGGGCCCAAAAATCTGCCCGGTATATAACGAGCACCGCGCGAGGACACGCCGAAGTCTCGTACTTTTCGATAAACCGCACTTTTCGCTAAACCGCACTTTTCGCCTCGCAAACCGCAGTATCATTCGACCGCTTTTTTCACTCGGACTTTCCTCTCGATTACGGACTTGAACTAATTTCGGCAATATTTTTCGAGTTCTGAAAAATATATATATTTTGTGTAAAACTTTATTTATCGTGTGGTGTTAAAAATAAAACTATCAAAAGTACAAAAAAAATCATACGTGTCGTAGCTTGTTTTTTCTCAATTGTGCAGTGTCCGAGTCCAAGACCTTTTCTGTCGCGCCTATCGTTTCGAATAACTCATTCGCGAACATTTTCTGGTCCTTCGAGCCGGATTTTTTATCCACATCCGCAGTTCGTGGGTGAACTTTGTGACATAGTGCGTGAATCTGAAACTGAAAAGTGATCATGAGTGCAGATCTAAAGGCACTGTTGGAGGCGCAGAACGACATCCACGGACGAATGTCTCGCTCCGTGGACAATCTGCGCAAGATGGGCGTCTCGAGCATCACCGCCGAAGCGATTCAGGCTCGCCTCCGCATTCTCGACACGCTGTGGACCAGATTCGAGACCCATCATGACCTCATTGTAACGGCGCTGAAAGACAAATATCTTGAGAGTGAGTACGCAAAGAATGATTTTATCGACATCGCGGAAACTACCTACGTGACACAAAGGAGCATGCTGGTCGAATACGCGAACAAACTCAAGGGCGAGTCTTCCACTACGCCCAAGGTCGAGGCTCATCAAGAGCAGACACTCAAGACCTCGCTGCCGCGAATTAAGCTCCAGCCGTTCTCCGGTGCATACACTGATTGGCCCGCGTTTCGCGACATCTTCTTGTCCATCATCGGGAGCAATACATCCATTTCCGACGTGGAAAAGCTCCACTATCTCCGTACGAGCTTACAGGGTCCTGCGGAAAAACTAATTAGATCATTGCCGATTGTCGGGGGCAATTATGACAGGGCGTGGTCAATTTTAAGTTCTCACTACGAGAACAAGCGAGAGCTCATTCGCGCCAACTTCGCTGCCTACACCGCCGTGCCTAAAATGAAGAACGCGACCGCTGACGAGTTGAACCGAATTTATAACGCCGCCACGACTGCCATCAATGCTCAGGAGAGCATTGAAAGACCCATCGGCACGCACGGTATGGACCTTTTCAATTACCTGCTCGTCGAGCGCTTTGACCCACAGACTCGAATGCAGTGGGAGTCCTCAATCCGCGATTCCGTCGACCCGCCAAGCAACGACGTCCTTATGGACTTCATAGCGAAGCAGATCCTCACGCTGAACGCCGTGCAGCCAGCCTCTGCCGCGAAATCCGGAGACACTTCTCGGTCCGCAAAGTCGCACTTTGTAAAACGCGCATCCGGTTCGTCAACGTGCGCCGCCTGTAAAGAAAAGCATTCGATTATGCAATGCTCGACATTCAAGGCCAAGACCGCTGCCGAGCGAAAAGACCTAGTAGAAGCAAACAGATTGTGCTTCAACTGCCTCGGCAATCATTACCTGGCAAAATGTCAGTCGTTGAAAACGTGCTTCACTTGCAAAGCACGCCACCACACGCTTCTGCACGACGCATACTCGCAATCTGATGGTGCGATTTCCTTGTCCACCACACGCTTCGCATCAGACCGCAAGGCAATTCTTCTTGCCACCGCACGGGTCACTATCAAGGACCACGTGGGAAGACCGCACGACATCCGAGCCCTGATCGACCAAGGATCAGAGGTCTCTCTAGTCTCAGAGGCCCTAGCACAACGATTGCGCCTGCCGCGGATCCGCTCCTCGATGGCGATAGCCGGGATCGGAGGAGCCTCTGGAGCAACCCGCGGACGGCTGTCTTTGGCGCTCTCCTCGGCAATAACCGGAGCAACGCTCCCAGTCCAGGCGTACGTCCTGCCGCATCTCTCCTCGTACCAGGGGCCCATCGTGCGAGCCAGCGTCACCTGGCCTCACATACGCGGTCTCCCTCTGGCCGATCCGCAGTATTTAGACCGAGATTCAATCGAGAGATTGCTCGGTGCGGATGTCTATTCCGCCATCCTTCAAGATGGACTCCGCAAGGGATGCAAAGACGAGCCCATCGCGCAGAAGACCTCCCTCGGGTGGATTCTGTCGGGAGGACACCGAGCCACGACCCAGAGTAGCCATGCCGCTCACCAATGCACCATAGACCGCCAGCTGACCGACTTGGTGCAGCTCTTCTGGGACTAGGAGAAGGAGCATACCGCTCCCGTCGCTCTTACCCCGGAGGAGAGAAGATGCGAGGACATCTTCGTCCGCGAGCACTCACGCACCAACGCCGGACGTTACATTGTGAGGCTTCCCTTCTCCGGAGCTCCATCCCCTCCGTCGGCCGGCCGAGCGTTTGCTCCATGCCATGGAGCGCCGCTGCGACAAGGACGCTCGATTCGGCAACCTCTACCGCAGCTTCATGAAGGACTACGAAGACCTGCAACACATGGAAGCTGTAACCACATCATCACAACAAGAAGATACTGCAAAGTGCTACTTACCGCATCACGGAGTGTTGCGAGAAACGAGCACCACCACTAAGCTCAGAGTCGTGTTCAACGGCTCCCAGCTCACGACCTCGGGCACCTCGCTCAACACCAGTCTGCTGACTGGCGCCAATCTCTTGCCTGTTCTCGCCGACGTACTCCTGCGCTGGCGCTGGCACCGTTACGTCTTCTTGGCGGACATTGAGAAAATGTACCGCCAAATTCTCGTTCATCCAGACGACCGCGATCATCAGCGGATACTTTGGCGGCACCGTGCCGTTGACGACATCCGCGAATACCGCTTGCGAACGGTCACGTATGGCTTGGCGTGCGCGCCATTCCTCGCCATACGGACCTTGCATCAGCTCGCCGACGACGAAGGTCACCGATTTCCGCAAGGAGCTGTCGCGCTGCGCCGCGATACTTACGTGGACGACGTCGTGACCGGCGCGAGCACCCTCTCGGAGGCCACCGCAGCGCAACGGGAGCTCCGCAGCCTCTGCATGGCGGGCGGGTTTCCTCTTCGGAAATGGGCGGCCAACCACCTCAACATCCTGGACGGCGTTCCGCACGAGCACCGGCTGACCCACTCACCTCACTCGTGGTCACACGAGAGTCACACAACACTGGGTCTCCACTGGCACCCGGCCAGTGACCACTTCACATTTTCCCAACCGACACGTCACTTCGACGAACTTACAAAACGGCGTGTCCTGTCCGAAACCGCACGAATGTTCGATCCTCTCGGCTGGATCACCCCGGTCACAATGCGGGCCAAGATCCTAATCCAGTCCGCCTGGCTCCAGAAGATCGACTGGGACATTCCACTTCCATCACCGGACACGCTCGCTTGGCGGAACCTGCTCTCGCAACTTCCGCGCCTCAACGAGATAAAGGTATCTCGTTGGCTCGGCAGCGACGGTCCGCACTCACACGTCGAACTACACGGATTCGCCGACGCATCGGAGCGAGGGTACGCCGCCGTGGTGTACCTCCGCTCCTCCACTGGAAAGGGCACCACACTCCACCTGCTGACCGCTAAGGGCAAGGTCGCGCCCGTGAAGCCCGTGTCTTTGCCGAGACTCGAGCTATGCGCGGCCGCCCTCTTGACGAACCTCGTCGTTCACACGCGCACTCTGCTAAGTTTGTCCTCAGCTCCAGTCTTCCTTTGGTCGGACTCCAGGGTCACTCTTCACTGGATCCACGGACACGCCTCCCGCTGGAAGACCTACGTGGCCAACAGAGTGTCGCTGATCCAGGAGCGGCTACCCGAGGCGCGGTGGCGACATGTGCCGGGCAAGGACAACCCAGCTGACTGCGCCTCCCGAGGAGTTCTGCCCAGCGACCTGGTCGGTCATCCTCTGTGGTGGACGGGACCATCCTGGCTTTTAGAGGACCAAGCAAGGTGGCCGAACAACGACGGCGCCCTGCTCAACGCTGCTGTGCCGGAGCAAAGGGCCGTCGCCTCGCTCTCGGCGGCTGTCAAGGACGTCTCCGAGTCGGCCTTCCTACTCCGCTTCTCGTCATTGCACCGACTGCTCAGAGTGACAGCCTGGTGTCTTCGATGGCGACGGACCGGCACCCGGAGATCTCGCACCACCGCTGACGCCGCACTCTCACTTGTGTCTTGCGAGATCGAAGACGCACTCCTTCACTGGATTCGCATCACACAGACTCTGCACTTCCTCGGCGAGATCACAGCACTCAGCAAAGGACGCGCCTTGCCAGCCAGAAGTCCTCTCACCAAGCTGAGTCCGTTCCTCGACGACAGCGGTGTAATGCGAGTCGGAGGACGACTGAAGAACGCCATCCTGTCTCACGACGAGCGGCATCCCAGCATTATCCCACCGGAATCAAGGTTGACTCACTTGATGGTGGACTCCTGCCACCGGCGGACCCTGCACGGAGGAGTGCAGCTCACCCTCGGGTTGCTTCGTCAACGAGTTTGGATCCCACATGGTCGAGCAGTCGTCAAGCGGGCGATCCACCGATGCGTCACCTGCACGCGGTGGAGAGCCGCCGCACCGCAACCACTCATGGGCAATCTGCCCCGGGAACGAGTGACTCCTGCACGCCCGTTCCTGCGCACCGGGGTCGACTACGCCGGCCCTATCTTCATTCGGGCCAGCAAAGGACGAGGTCACAAGGCATCCAAGGGCTTCATCGCAGTTTTCGTCTGCCTCAGCACCAAGGCGGTCCATCTGGAGGCAGTCACGGACTACACGGCCGAGGCGTTCCTGGCTGCCTTCCGCCGCTTCGTTTCCCGGCGAGGCCTCTGCAGCGACGTCTTCTCCGACTGCGGCACGAACTTCGTCGGAGCTGACCGTGAGCTGCGGGAGCTGTTCCGCGCTTCCTCCTCCGACGGACGTCGGATAATTCACGCAACAGCTTCCGACGGCGTGAGATGGAGGTCCAACCCCCCCGCAGCACCACACTTCGGCGGATTATGGGAGGCCGCCGTCAAATCCACCAAACACCACTTCCGAAGGGTCATCGGCGAAGCCACCCTCACTTACGAGGAAATGGCGACCCTCCTCACTCAGGTGGAGGCGTGCTTAAATTCGCGTCCGTTGCAGCCGCTGACGGACGATCCCAACGATCTGGCGGCACTAACACCAGGGCACTTCATCATCGGCGCCCCCCTCGTGGCCGTTCCTGAGCCGTCACTCACGTCCGAGAAGGACAACGCTCTATCTCGGTGGCGGCTTCTTCAAAAAATGCGCGACCACTTTTAGGAACGGTGGACGCGCGAGTACCTCAGCACTTTGGCGTCACGACCAAAGTGGACCAAGGACGAAGCCGGCCCTAGCATCGGCGATCTGTGCCTGCTGCGATCGGAGATCACGCCTCCGACGAGATGGCCACTCGCCCGCATCACGGCACTGCACCCAGGAGACGACGGAATCACACGCGTCGTCACCGTCCGCACCGCATCTTCGGAGTTCACTCGGCCACTCGCGAAGATCATCGTCCTACCAGGAGACAACGCCAGGGCAGACTCATCACAACCGGATTTGTGAGCCCGCACAATCACACGTTCTTATTTCGTTTCTCCTTTTTTTTGCTGCGGTTTCTCACTAATTCGTTTCACCGCATCGCACTTCACTCGCGTCACTTATAACCTCACGTACGATCGGCGGATCGCGTTATTAATTGTCTTCTCGCGTTTTCTTTTCTTTCATTTTCACGTCGCAATTTCACGATCACTCATCACCGCACTCCACGTTTTGGAAATCAACCGCCAATACTTTTACATATTGTCACAACATCACGAGTATGTTTCTCATTATTCACCGTCACAATATTTCACCAAAACGCAACACTCACTCAAGCGAAAATTTCAATAGACTGAATCACACGTGTTGTTACATTCCATTCATCACGCGCGATTCACAATTCACAAGTCGAACTGTTCATGACATCTGTCAGTACTTACACGCACTCATTCATTTCGTCATGTACTGACGAGGCGGGCGGGATGTTTGAAATTCATATTTCGCATGCATATCATCTCAGCTCATTATTACTGAAAACCGAAATTTTTCAAATTAACGGGCGTCGAGAATCTTTTAGACGTTTCTATTTATAGAAAAAAAACCGATCGAGTTATCTCTATTTTGTTGCCACCGCAAAAAACGTTAGTTTCTGCCGTTGACAATAACAGTGTCAACGGTCGCCGAAAACTGTAAAGTTTACGGGCATGCGCGCCCATGCGTCACGATCAGCTGATTACCAATCAGCTGATCTAAAAAGATCGCGCGCATGACAATTAACTCATTGTCAGCGGTAGATCTCATCAGCGGCCAATGACGCGCGGCGCCCTGAGGTCACCGCCAAAATACAAAGTTAATTGGGCCACGTCGACACGGGCCCAAAAATCTGCCCGGTATATAACGAGCACCGCGCGAGGACACGCCGAAGTCTCGCACTTTTCGATAAACCGCACTTTTCGCTAAACCGCACTTTTCGCCTCGCAAACCGCAGTATCATTCGACCGCTTTTTTCACTCGGACTTTCCTCTCGATTACGGACTTGAACTAATTTCGGCAATATTTTTCGAGTTCTGAAAAATATATATATTTTGTGTAAAACTTTATTTATCGTGTGGTGTTAAAAATAAAACTATCAAAAGTACAAAAAAAATCATACGTGTCGTGGCTTGTTTTTTCTCAATTGTGCAGTATCCGAGTCCAAGACCTTTTCTGTCGCGCCTATCGTTTCGAATAACTCATTCGCGAACACATATGATTATAGAACTTGCAGTTCTTAGATTTACTACAAATCAAAAGATATAAGTATCATTTATATGAAGATACAAAGATTCAATTTCTGTAAATGTATGTTTCTTGCGCCAAAGATATTTCAATTTTTTTCACTCTTCTTCTTGAAATATTGTGTACGTATAATACGAAACGTTGTGATTTATTTTATTTTATTTTATACTATTATACTGTTATAATTCGTTGACACGAATGTGCAAAATACTGATGTAATGAGTATTTTAAGTATTTAGTATCAGTGCTTCGTTTTTATTTAAATATAAGTAACAAATGTTATATCAATCAAATGCACCTGAAATGTGCCCTTCCTATAATGATGCATACAATTTGTTATATCCAATCGCATTGAACATTTAGTTACAAATTGATGGATAACGCCAAATTTTTTATTTGTTTCCTGTTTATGTTTAAGAATAGTAATTTGTATCTTTCAAAAGACGTATCATTATAGAAATTGCGTTTTTCAAAAGACGTATCATTATAGAAATTACTCTAGTAAAAAATGTACCTTTCGCATATAACTTATAGAGATTCGATTTGTGTAAATGTGTGATATGCCAAAGATACTTTTACTCAATTTTGTAGTATTGTTGCGAATATGTGCTAAGCGCTGTGATGGAGTTTTATACCTCAGTAAAATAGAACATTAAAGTAAATATTGTAAAATGATAATTTTTAGAAATAGCAACTTTTAGATTTACTCCAAGTTAAAAGATATAGGTGTCATTTATATGCAGATACAGAGATTCAATTTTTTCAAATGTATGTTTCTTGCGGCAAAGATATTTCAACTTTTTTTATTTTTCTTTTAGGAATATTGTTTAAATAATATTTAAAATATGGTGTGTCGCGTTTTAAACATTTAATGTCAATGCTTTGTTTTCAGTTCTAAATATAATTGAAGGACTTACATTTGCACAAATTAATTCATACGTAATCAATATAATGTATCGTTGCATCTGACTGTCATTACTGTAATGATGCTTACCATTTGTTATATTCAACAATTGTAAACATTTGGCTACAAATTAATTGGTAACACAAAATTTTGCATTCGTTTCTTGTTTATATTTTAGAGCAAATTATTTATATTTTCTCAAAGATGTACTATTATATAAATTTCTCTCATACAATTATTCTAAGTGCTAATTACGGTCAACATATAGAGATTTTACTTTGTGCAAATGTATAAAAAGCCAAGATATTTTTTTATTCTTTTTGTAGTAATGTTAATTGCTTTGTAATTTTGTGCTGTACTCTTTTTAAAGGTTAAGTTTTGTAAAATATTTATTTCTTGTAACATAAATATTTTATATCAATACATGAAGTAGTTATAAGCTAAAAAATTCAGAAATAAAAGTCAAGAATAAAACATATTTTCTACCCAATGAATAAAACTATTGTTTTTTTTCATGTCTCGATAATTTTTTTATATTTTACATTGACAGATATTATAACCTCTAAGTATGACATCTCTCTTTACGATTTCACACCTTATGTACAGAGTGTTGCATCTACACAGTTCAGTATGACGGGTTGCCCATACTAGCAGGCGCGCAAGATCGTTCACAATTGCATAGCTTTGGCGGCACAATCAGTAGCAAATTTTTTCAATAAAATTTGTAGCATATCAAATTGGGATACAATTATGACGGACTTTCGTAGCAATAAGTTAAAATAAAAGCCGAAGTGACAATACAGATTATAAAAATTTTATCATGAAAATGAAGGATGTTTTTTCTTTTATGAGAAAAAGCCGATCATAGTTGATCATAATTATTAAATAATATAATTTTATTATTTAAATTATTTCTTGCAAAGAATGAAAATCAGTAACAAACATATCTTTGCATATAATAAGTTGATAAATAAATTTGATTCACTGCAAATTTAAATAACGACAAAAACGATTATCGATGGATTTTAATATTTATTTAAAAATATTAATAATTAATTAATTAATTGATAATTTAGCATATAAATAATAATTTAATATACTAATTTTTATTGATTGATAATTTAATATACCGATATGCTTTTATGTAATTAATGAGCATTATATAATTCTTTATAAATGATACTACTGCATCTTATCTTATATTATTATATTATTAAAACTAATAATAAATATAACTAATATATATATATATATATTGTGACGTTGCCGTCACGATGGACGTCCACCCGCCAAAAAGACTGCGTGACGCGAGCCGAGCGGCCGCGCCGGTCGAGAAATCGAGAGCCCCGCCGGGATTTTCAGAGAGGCGAGCGCGTTCGTTTATAAACAAAAGCATTGTTACTAATCCTATTTGTCGAAATTATATTGTTTCGGAGGCCATAAATCTTCAATGAAGATTTACCTGGAAGTCTACAAGAAAAGCAACCTTGCCGAATCATCACCGATCAAAACATCGGCCGTGGAAAACAAGAGTCGGCGTTACTCGAGCAGCCTCGCACAATTTCGGTCCATCGGCCCAGCATCCCGCGAAGGGGCTAAACCTCACCGGAGAAAAATCCGGAAAATCGCTACCCTCCACTGGAGAGGGACGAAGATAGCAAAGATCGGCCTTGACGGGAGAATTCCCGAGCACCTGGCGCTGAAAAACGCAAAGGAACAGCGGACCGTCGGAGGCGCGGGACCGCGGGCGCACGATGCGCTCTTGCGCCACGCTCGAAAATCCGAGCGCGCGGGAACGGGCCTATCACTCCTCTCGATGGAGTGCGGGGCGAATAGTTAAGGATAAATACGGCGATTCCGAGAGAATGAGTGACTTGTTCTACGAGATTTTCGGCGAAAGTTTAGAGAGAGTATTGCGGACGTTCGGCACAAAAGGAGACGAATTGGCGGAAATCAGAGCGAAGAGTTCAACGGTGAGATCACCCGGCTATCTTGTGTTTAATTACGAAAATTTGTACGCCGTCCACCGATACGGCTCGCGGGTCGACCCCTCTGGCCGGTCGCGATTAGTGTTTCGTTTGCGTAAATTTCGCGGTAGTGAAAAGAAGTCGAGTGCGACCGTAGTCAAGAGGCGACAGTGATCCGTCGATCGGTCTCACCCGATATACTCGTTCGCCTCTCCGTATCCGTGTGACGCGCGCGTAGTGTAGAATTTTTAACACGAGGCTATCGCCGGTCGGAGTGGAACGACTCCGACCAATTGTAAGTGCTGTCGACCGCTACCCCAGGGGAAAAATTCCGCGACAGCTTGAGCGGCAAATTGGTGAGTACCTTGGAAATTGTGACAGCGGACCGGAAGTTATACGACTTAAGGGGGCCTCGATTCTCGACCATCTCTTTCTACGTGCGTTCTCTTTTTCTTGCGACTCGCAGCCCGCTGACCGCGGACGTGCGAACAATCGGCTGTCGGAGGCGTAAGCTATCGGCACCCGCCGTGCCGTGTGTGCACCGGCGGGAACGCCTTATCGTTGCGATACACGAATTCCGATCAACTAGA